CACATTTTTTCTTTTTTTCCATCAAGGACAGCTTTTACATCACACGGGGGGGGGGGTTGACGGGGGTGGGGGTTGACAAGGCTAGTTACCCTCCCCGGACCCTGCAGGCTTTCAGTCCAAATGGGTGACAGGTAGGCAAATAAACCGTTCTGTACAGCCTAGGAAGGAATTGTTTGGGTCCAGGTTCTGCCATAATCCTACCCCGAGTAAAAGACTGTGGGACTTCCAGCCACCCTGGACGGTGTCCACAGGCTCTCAATACCCCGGACTTAGTGTTCTGCCATAGCACTCACTGGCCCACGTTTCCAAAGAGCCACAAACAATTGCTAAAAGCGTCTCCTTCCTTCTTAACCCGAGTGGGTCAGAATTTCCATTTTTCAGATAAGGAAACTGAAACGTGTAAAAGTAAGACAAAAACCACAAGTTTCCTTCTGATCTAAACCAAGATTCCCAGATGGGTCATTTGGCTTTTAGTTATTACACGAGGGCATCTTTTCCTTCACAAATTTCACAAGCTTTTCCTCACTTCTTCCCTCCAAATTCGTAAATGTCTTCCACCTTCATCCTTCCCTTTCTTCTCTCCAACTCAGATTTCCCCAAGGTCTGAACACTGCCCAGAATCCCTGTGGACCTTGCTTCAAGAATATATCTTTCCTTTTGCTGTGGCGGAGAGTGCCCTGCTCACCCTCCCCGCGTCCCCCCAACCACACCGTTGCTCAGGCTCTTTGTAACCAATTCTTCGCCCCCACCCCTTCCCCATCACCGAGGGTCTCCTTCCCGCACACAACCGGCCCCCAAAGTTCCAGACTCGTTCCTCCGGCTCTCCCGGGTGCAAGCCGCGCCCGGGCAACAGTTCAGGCCTGAGCCCTTTCTTTTTCCATCACTATCCCGTCCCATCACCTCTGCGTCGCAGTCCCGGCTCCCGCGCGCTTACCCGACCAGAGCACGAGCTTGTCGTGCGCTTCCTCCTGAGAGTCGGAGTCCCCAGCCAGCAGCGTGGTGGTGGCTCCGTAGGGCAGCGCCGAGCCCAGGCACACGTTGTAGCGCAGAGGCTCGCAGTGGGCGGCCCGGCCACAGTGGCTCAGCAACGGCGGCGGAGGGCTGGTCACCGGCGCGT